GTTTTATCAATGACAGGCTGGCTAGCAGAGACTGGCTTCAAGGTCGCTCACATTCTTCCCATTCGGGAGGAAAACAATTACCAAGTGGCTAAGCGAAGCTTACCACTAACTTACCCACTGCCCCCCCACAACGGTCCAGATACAGAACAGTTACAAGCAATGAAGACGGAACCGAGAAATCCCATGGCAAACAAGGCCCCAAGTTTGACATCTTACTGGGGGCTTGGATGTTCTTCAGAGAGGTGGCTTGATTAGCCTGCCTCTGCGTCCTGCCTCCAGTATTCCTTGGAGGTCACCCTTCCAAGTCATTGCCAGAGTCGGCTCCGCTTAGCTTCCGAGATCTGAAGGGACTGGCCTCACCTGGGCTATCCAGGTCAGGGCTAGGATGTCAGGTAGCCCCGTCATAAGTCTGGAATGTGGAGGGGTGCCCTCCCGTTTTCTGTCTCAACTCTCCCTGGCTCACTTAACTGTTTGCGATCTTATGCTTGACCTTGTAGATGATACAGCTGCAGTTTTACTCGGCTGGGAAAGTGAACGGCTTTTTGCTTTGCCCGTGCGCGAGATGAATCCATTGGCTTATGCCTACCTGGGGGATGTTTGATTCTAGTATAAGTCAGAGGCCCTTGTATAGGCGTCCATTCCTGATACAAGCTGTACACGTGTCTCTAGTTCTGGATTTACCAATAAACAGTTATCTTCTCATGAAGCCCTGTATTGTGTAATCTGACTAAGCACCCTGACATTGGGTCTCCAAACTATTTGAGCCTGTGGGCACATCTGGAATTCTGACACAGCGTGAGGGGCGCAGGCAGAAAATGGCTGACGCAAGAGGTGGAGCCAGCCCCCAAAAGGTCTACCAGATTAGAGATATATATTAATTTGCACAACCTATATATATATTTGCACAACCAATCAGAAGCCTTGCTGGGCAAAAGCCCCACCCCCTTTCTAAAAACACATGGCAGGCGCCAGGAAAGGTGCCGGTGGGCACCCTGGCTTCCACAGACACCATGTTGGGAACCCCCATTCTAAATCCAGAGCAGCAGGTTTTTTAAAATTACTATTCTGCATTTACAGCCGTCTACCAATGAAAGCAAGAAATTGCAAGTAGATAAATAGGTACCACTTTGGTGGGAAGGTAACAGTTCCATGCGCCTCGGTGTTTAGTCATGCCGGCCACATGACCACGGAGTCGTCTTCGGACAGCGCTGGCTCTTCGGCTTTGAAACGGAGATGAGCACCGCAACCCTAGAGTCGGATTCGACTGGCTTTCGAGCAAGGGAACCTTTTTACCAATGAAAAGGCTGGCTGGGGCCACACCTACTGAGCTTCAACAATGCTGCGGCAGTGGGTTCTTGCAGGTCATCCGCTGAGGTCCCAGGAAGAACATTTAAAAATCTATTAGCGCAGCAGCAGTGGGGCAACACTGCTAACCACATGAGTGCTGCCAAAAAGCTTCCTCGGTCCCTGCGGCACCATCTAGAAGTTTTTAAGCTTTTGTGTATGGCCGAATGAACGCCCTGCCTGCCCATCAATGACAACAGACCTCTGAGAAGGGTGTGGGTAGCATGGGATGCTGCAAACATTTGGACACCGATGCACAGTGAGTTGCTTCTAAAAATTACAGTACAAGAAGAGCTTCTCTGAAGCACTCCTGGGGAAATAACATCACGGGTGGCAATTATTCAGCCAAATTGCAATAGGTGTTCTGGAAAAAAAATCCGTTTCCTTCTTAGGTCTAGCCAGTTTGGTGTAGTGGTTAAGTGCGCGGACTCTAATCTGGGAGAACCGGGTTTGATTCCCCACTCCTCCACTTGCACCTGCTGATGCGACCTTGGGTCAGTCACAAGCTCTGGCACAGCTGTCCTTGAAAAAGAGCAGTTTCTGTCAGAGCTCTCTCAGCCCCACCCACCTCACAGGGTGTCTGTTGTGGGGAGGGGAAGGGAAAGGAGTCTGTAAGCCGCTCTGAGACTCCAAGTGAAGGGCGGGGTATAAATTCAATCTCTTCTTCTTCTTCTCTATTCAGATCAGGATACCACAACACATGCTCAATGTGTCCCGATTACTCACATACAGAACTGTCTCTTTTGATGACCCGAGCAAACATATGTGCCCATCTGTAGTTCATTCAGGATCAACAACACCGTATTTGATGAAGGAATAAAGGGATGATTTCATTTTTCATCAAAGATGCTGCCTTTTTCATGGAGAATGAGACAGAATTTGACTCAAAAGAGAATTTCATCCAATGCCTGCATTAAATTTGGAACGATCACCAAGGACGATGCCATTGTCAGCTGAATGAATGTTAACTGCAGGCTCGTTGCTCTGCCTCAAAAATTTCAAGTGCACCAATGTGGTCTCGCATCACCTCATCCTTCATAAATATATATCAATTTCCATTTTAAATTTCTACACAGTGTTCCTTAACGGCTGATACATACACATGCGCAATACACAAGGGCAATATTTATTTACATCATTTTGCCTTTCTCCCCAATGAGGATCCAAAGACATGTTGTCGAAGGCCGTTTAAAAATAAATAGGGCATTTCCTGTCCTGAAAAACACAAAAGGCTCTACATCTGGCAACAGTACAGATAAGATTAGAATTGCAATATCCAATCCACATGCCAAAGAACCTCCTCAGGAAACAATCCATATACAAAAGAACCTCCTCAGGAAAGCTCCTCCATTAGCAGTTTCATAGCCTGGGGAACTCCTACAAGGTAACGACTCAGCCCTACCCCGCCTTCCTAAGTAGATATAAATTACCTGCCTACCGTTTTTCTTCCCACCTTGACACAGAGAGTGCTCCATCTTTCTGTGTTATACCTCTGAGGATGCCAGACACAGCTACTGGCGAAACGTCAGGTCCTACAATACCAAAACCACGGCCTTACAACCCGGAAAATCTACAACAGCTAATGATCTAAAGATACCTATATAGTCTCCTCTCCTTTACCCTCACAGTGACCCTGTAAGGTAGGCCTGGTTGAGTGTGAGTGGCACCCAGCAAGTTTCCAAGGCAGAGGGGGGATGCAAACCTGGGTCTCCCAGATAACGGGTCCAGCACTCTAACCGCTGCACCACACTAGGATTCCTGACACTCGTCGGAGAACCATGTGGAAAAGCGGGGCGATTCAGCTGCAAAACTGTTTCCCAGCTTCACTTGGCCTAGAGTGGACCCGTGCCAGGGTAACCCCAACTCTTGACTACTGTACCACACTCGACATCGGGGTCCTCCACCTTTTTGAGCCAGTGGCCACCCCTGGAATTCGTAAGATAGCCACAAGACAGCTGCTGCAGAAGGCAAAGTGAGCTGCGAAACAGCTGCCGCGGCTCACCTTCAGTCACACCCAAGATCCTTGTGCTGTGGTGGCAGCTGTTGCCAAAGCCGTTTTCAAAAATCTGCGCAGCCAATCAAATCTCCAGGGGTCAATCAGAAGCTTTGCTGGGCAAAAACCCCAATCTGGCCCCACCCACTTTCTAAAAGCACTTGGGGGGGCAGGAAGGTGTTGGCAGGTGCTGTGGGGCCCATGGGGACCACGCTGGGGACCCCTCCTCAACATGGCTCTGCCCATGAGGACCACTTGGAAGCTCCAGACAGTGCAGCACAAACACAGCTTGACTGCTGTCAGGGGCTAGTCCGAGCACGCATATCACACCTGTTCAGCAATCATGGCACTCGTTACGGATTAGTTCCGTAACTAATTCTTCTTGTATATGGGTTCAGTTCAAGGTGCCGGTTATTACCCACAAAGCTCTTCATGGCCTAGGACTCATGTGTCTAAAGGATCACCACTCCTGATATACCCTACCGTACGGCTGCATTCATATGAGGAAATGGATAAAATCAACAGCTGCCTGGCTTCCAGTTTGGTGTAGTCGTTAGGAGTGTGGAGAGCCAGCCTGGTGTAATGGTTAAGAGCGCAGACTCTAATCTGCGAGAACCGGGTTTGACTCCCCACTCCTCCACATGCAGCTGCTGGTGTGACCCTGGATCAGCCACAAGTTTTCTCAGAGCTGTTCTCTCAAGAGCAGATCTCAAAAGAGCTCACTCAGCCCCACCGACCTCACAGGGTGTCTGTTGTGGGGAGGGGAAGGGAAAGGAGTTTGTAAGCTGCTCTGAGACACCTTCGGGTAGTGAAGGGCGGGGTATAAATCCAATCTCTTCTTCTTCTTTAGTGGAATTACCTGCCTGGTATGGTTAGGAAGCCTCCCCAAATTTGTGCTGCACAACATACAGGATGGAACTGTGCAGCAGGTCATTTTTACAAAGGGAATACTAAGGTGGCAATATGGAATTGTGTAAGAAAGTCCTTTTTGTTCTGGAAAAGGCTTGTAGCTTTAATTATATGTGAAGTTTTAAAGCAATTTTCTTTTCTTCCTTCCCCCCTCCCATTTAATTATTTACAGCACATTATATCACTTTTCACTGTACTCTTAACACTGTGATCCAATTTTATAGCATTATTGTCTAACGGTACAAGCCATTCAGGTTTGACCTAGATCGCATCCCTGATGAATATACAGTAGAGGTGAAGAATAGATTCAAGGGTCTAGATTTGATAGAGTGCCTGAAGAAGTATGGACGGAGGTTCGTGACATTGTACAGGAGGCAGCAATAACCACTATCCCAAAGAAAAAGAAATGCAGGAAAGCAAAGTGGCTGTCTGATGAGGCTTTACAAATAGCAGAGGAAAGAAGGAAAGCGAAAGGCAAAGGCGAAAAGGAGGCCTTCCTGAATGAGCAATGCAAAGTAATAGAGAAAAATAATAGAATGGGAAGGACTAGAGATCTCTTCAAGAAAATTGGAGAAATCAAGGGAGCATTCCATGCAAAG